TTGATTGGCAATGCCTCCACCATCGAAATGCTATTTTGGTTTAAATCATCAAGCCCCTTTGATTTAAAAATTACTTTGAAAACTTTATTTATTAATACATTATTTTTATCCTTTCTTTTTTACGTGGGACAAAGTTTCATCAAGATAAATATAGAAATATAAATTAAAGTTTTGAAATTTTGAAAATAAATTCAAATTTTCTAAAATAATTCAATAACATTGACCATTGAACGACACCCGTTTGGAAAAATATTAATACGATGTATTCAAAGTTCATGTCCAAGCTACATATTTGTTATTATATCATTTGTTTCAAATATATGAGTTGCCATCCCACATCGATTGTGGATAATATTCTCAATTATCTTGTTTCAAATATGTGTTGCCATCCCACATCGATTGTGGATAATATTTAGAATAGACTTATAAGATGGCATTGGACACTTCCATTGTGGAGGCGTCCTTAGAAAATCAAAGGAATAAATCCGTGCGGCTTGCCAGCTATCATGCTTAGGCCAAAGCGGACAATACTTCTAGCTGTTGGCTGGGCTATGTGTTGTCCATGCTTCAAGGTGGTAGTTGGGCTATGTGTTCAACATGAACGGACGACTACAAATAATGTACAAGATAGTCCACAATACCTCCTTCATCATAGAAGCGCCTTTTTATTAAAAAAGATAGTCCACATAATCAAATCCTCAATAAATTTTTTGACCCTTTTTTTTTTGGACAAATAGATTTACTAGTCAGGTTACCAATAGATTCAATAATGAGAATCGACCATGATTAGATCGGGATAGAAAAACACAACCTTAGAGCTGGCAAATCTGAATGGCCAATAATATTTCATGTACCTCAATGCACAGGGTCGTGTCTAAATGCAAGCATCATAATCAAACATTCAAGTTTTTCCATAAACTACTTTTACACCTAAAACTAATCCCTACTGTATAATAATTTGTTGGAAATGGTTGAAAAATTCTAGGTAAAAACAGAATTTTTTCCTAACTTTAGTATATTATTTAGGTGGGACCCGTGCGTCTATTTTGGCGGGTCTAAGTGGTAACGCGTTCTATGCCGCGTTGTGATTCACGTTGTCACGCTCCATTTTTCAATTACTCTAAAACATTACCAAAGCCTTTAAATTAGATCCTTTTTTATTTTTTTATTTTAAAGGTCTATTACCCTTGGGTTATAGAAACATAATGATACATGTTCTCTCTCTCCATGAATATTACAATGACAACAATAATACATGCCAAGCTTCTGCTACGGAGCTACAAATAAATAATTACAAACCACAAGATACATTTTTCATTCCCTTAACATCTATGATAAATTTTACACATAAGGTACAGAATCCATACTCTTCATCTAATGAATCCGAAATTCTCTTCCTGAAAAAGAATAAAATGAGGGGTGAGCATTAATGCCCAGTAGGAATCTCATAGGTCTACAACAATAGCAACCACATAGATAGAAATGATCATGCATGCAGAGTGATATCATATAGTAAGATGGCATTTTGTAAGCTCAAAATATTATACCAAAAAGTATCTTTTATTAAAATTTCACTTGAACCTTTTAACAAAACTCCTTGCCATAAATGTAGTCTCTCATCATTAAGAAGCCATAAATTTTCTTTGAAAACAAGTACACTTAAGGAAAAACATCATCTTAAATTCATTAACCCGATTCCAAATTATTCCTCATTTTGTTTACATTTTAATATTCCACATTTCGTTTCCATTCTAACATTACACATTTCATTTCCATTTCTAATTACCAAACTCCATAACATCAAAATCCAAAGGATTAGAGTTCAAACATAACACAAGAATCACAAATCCTTTTTAATTCAATTTCCCAATTACTTACAAAACAAAGCTCATAGTCTTCCCTTTTGTCACAAGCAATCCATTGAGTTCATCATCACTAGCCCTTAATCCAATTACCCACATAATGCCAATTTCAATCCTTAATCCATTTTCCTTCAATTCATTTATTCTTCTCAATTCATGAGTAAATTTCATTATTTCACAACAACCAAACTAAGACTACAACTCAGTGGTTTTCCCAATCATACAAAATATACATAAACACTTCAAACTGTCATTTTACAGAAATTTTGTCCGCGGGATCGGCACCCATGTATAAATTTCATGACTTTCACCCAGGACACTCCGGCCAACTTAGTTATAATGGAGTCCATCCCCTTTCTCCTCCCAAACAGTGGAGTCCATCCCCTTTCTCCTCCCAAACAAACATACATATACAATGTATTTAATCACACAATCACACATAGAGTACATCCCCTTTCTCTTCCCAAATAATCATACACATACAATGTATTAAAATACACAGTCATATTCAATGACAACCATTTCTCAGACTTATCATATTATTTACTCTTTTCAACTAACACAATATATGTGATCCAAAATATGATTTTCAAATGAAACAAGTGCTCTTAAACATAGCACAAGAATTTCCAAAATCTTTTTCCAAAGCATACAGTTTAAATCCTCAAAATCCATTGCATTCTCCATGATATGCATGATTTATAAATAGTCTGGTTTGCCTAGTCAACATGCAATTTCTACACCAATCATAGTTATCCTCCACCGATAGCCCAAAATAAATACATCTAAATTGATATATAAATTCCTTTGAAGATATGCTTTTTTCCAAAATCTCATATGGGAGTGATAATGCATATCGAACTCCATCATCATCATTAATAATCCTCCGATTTCACATTTACACTGACAATTTTAATTGCTTATACAAAATAACAATTTGATCCAATTAGGGCAAAACTTCCTTTATTTATATCAACCCAAAATCAATACAACCCAACACAACTCAACATAGTCGACACAATTCAACATAATCAACACTATTCAACACGATTCAATTCAACACCACTAGATATAATTCAACATAATTCAAGGTAAATTCTTAAATCCCATCTCAACATTACATAACCGCGTTTATGTCACCTATATCATTAATAAATCATTTTCCCAATTTCCTTTCTCATTATAGCATGATTTACAATGCTCATAACAAAGTTCATTCGCAAATTTTAAACATAATTTTCAAATACAACCAAATTCCAATTAAACTTGTACATATATAATTCAACCTACCAATTTCATGATTCTTCTTTCAATTTGGACCAAATCATTGATTATCATCATGAATCAACCTAGGGATTCTAGAACAACCTAGGGTTTCTAAAAAATCTAGAAATTTCAAGAAAAAAATCAAATTTCTTAACCCATTACTTTTTATTCCAACCTTCCCATTGATTATACACCTAGGGTTCACAATCCACCATTTTAACCCATCAATTGAACTCCCAACATCTCAAACCCTAAACCCCCAATTCTCATAATATACTCTAGATGCCCAAAAATGTAGGTTTTGTATGTATATAATCAAAATACCACAAATCTATCTATTTATGGAAGTATTGAGGAAGAACAAGAACCCCTACCTCAAGAATCAAGCAAAGGAGCGAAGCTTTGATGAGAATCCGTCACAAATCCGAGCTTCAATCGGTTGAAAATGTTGATCTTCTCTTGTTCTCCATCCTTAATGCAAGATCCATGGGGTATTTGTTGATAAAAGTGGAGGAAATCAAGGTTTTTAGGGCTAGGTTTTCTGACCTAGAATGAGAGGAAAGAAAAGAGGAAAACAAAAGGTAAGAAATGATCTAAAAATCACGTTTTTAAGCTGCTAAACTCGCGCATTCCGCTCGAGCGTCCCTTTTCCCGCTCGAGCATACCTACTTCCAGCACAGATTCCGAAACTTCGAACAGTATAAATTTTTCATCCGGACTCCGTTTTAGGTCGTTCTTGTGTCCAAATTGAAGCCGAGCGAAGCTTTGATGAGAATCCGTCACAAATCCGAGCTTCAATCGGTTGAAAATGCTGATCTTCTCTTGTTCTCCATCCTTAATGCAAGATCCATGGGGGATTTGTTGATAAAAGTGGAGGAAATCAAGGTTTTTAGGGCTAGGTTTTCTGACCTAGAATGAGAGGGAAGAAGAGGGGAAAACAAAAGGTAAGAAATGATCAAAAAATCATGTTTTTAAGCTACTGAACTCGCAAAGTCTGCCCGAGCGTTCCTTTTCCCATTCGAACGTAACTGCTTCCAGCACAGATTCCCAAACTTCGAACAGGTATAACTTTTCCATCCGGACTCCGTTTTAGGTTGTTCTTGTGTCCAAATTGAAGCCCCGAAAATAAGCTTTCCAATGGTTCTAGCCTCACATCCAAATTCAAAGTGTGGAAAAAGAAAAGGGGCAAAAGAGTGACGGCTGTTCGTAGGAAGATTATCCGAATTAAAGTTTTTCGTTCAATCTTACTTTACCATCATGTAACCACTTCGATCAATGACCCAAAATAAAACTAGGAGGCTCCAAAGACAATAATAAAAGGGTCAAAAACAATCCCACTAGCCTTAGAAATTCAAACTCAACCAGGTAGACCGCTCGAGCGCAAAATCTCGCGCTCGAGCGTGCAGACCAACAAAGCCGGCCGCTCAAGCGACCACTCCTACGCTCGAGCCGGAATTCACAACTCTCAGAATTTCGGACAGACTACAAAAATACTGGAAGCCTCACAAGTCCGCTCAAGCGTCAACTCCCCCGCTCGAGCGGAAGGAAAAATTCTAGATTGCTACACATGTGGTATATTTAGTTGCTCAAAACCATTACCGGGTGAATGGGAAATTGAAGCCAAAGTGAGCTCCATGGAAATGGAGTTTTGATAGAAATTCCTTAAGGTTGGAAAATGGCTTGTCCCACATTGATTTGGTGGGAAATTTTGAGTGGGTTTATAAGACATGGGATTGGACCCTGGGGTGTGCCCCAAGGGGTGCCCAAGTTTTGTAGAGAGAGAGGTTATGGGCAAAATAAGCTTGACCAATTGTCTTAAATCATTTCTTTTTATACGGTCAAACTTATCGTATGACAAATAAATAATTTGAAATTGATGGGGAGCAATTGACTTTTGAGGTTGGAAGTTTTCAAAAACTTAAGCAACTAGATCTCCTTGAATTGGAGGGATTGAAGTCGATAATAATAAAGGAAGGAGCATTGCCTCTTCTTAAAGAGCTAAGGATTGGGTCTATCCCACAACTAAAGAAGGTACCCTCTGGCATCCACGACCTCCAAAAACTCAAAACTCCTGCGTTTATTGATATGCCGAAAAAATTCTTAGATAGAATGCAACCCCAACCCAACCAAACCAAGGCAAAGACTATTGGATTGTTGAGCATATACCTAATGTCTTGTTCTGGTCTCGGTGGGGGCTTTTCTGGATATTGGAACAGCGGCACTCTTCAAAAATATTTTGAGAGGAAGGTGAAAAACCAAAGGGTTATTGAAGCTGAATAATGAATCTTACGGTTACGGATGCAAATTCAATTCCAGGTTCCTCACTCAACTCAATTGCAATGTTTGTTTGTAACTAGAAACTGATAAAATATTTTTGCTTACCTGAACAAGATGATAATTGCTCTATTAGATTACTTTGTTGTTATTATTTAATAATAATCTCAAAATGCTGGTGTCAACAAAAATCGTGAGCATCATTATAATCTGAAAATGCTAGTGCTCATTTTATTAACCTATCTTTCATAATATTGTTTATAGAATTCTATCATTTTATAGTTCCTTCCATTTGTTTATGTTCGTTGGCTGTCATAATAATATAGATGAAAGGGAAGTTATCCAAACTGATGTTAAATATTTTTTTACAATAATAATATAGTTGGGTCGTCATAATAATATAGTTGGGTCGTCATAATAATATAGAATTCTATCATCGTTGCCGCCACTACCCTACCAGTACCACTATCACCACCACCATGACGTCCACCATCACCATCACTGCCTTAGCACCACCATTCTGGAGACTAAAGTGACACTTCGTTTAAACTATAGGGAGTAATGGTGTAATTTACCCAAAGTGTTTTCTATCGAAACAAATGTAGTGTAAGTCACCTATACTTTTACTAATTGTTTCATTGATATGTCCTTACATTTAGTATTTGTTTTGTAATTGTTAGGTCAATTACCGGCAACACATACAGTTGAAGCGAAATCAATGGCAGAGGCCCCAGAATTCAAGTACTCCAAGCTGCCAATAACCTTATAATCGAACAAACCCCTTTTAGGGCAATGGTAGAGGGCGACGTCGTTTTAGCAGTTTTGAGCCATTTGAGCCACACAAATTGTGGCTCTCAAACATTATTCCCCCTTTTATCACCGTTGATTTTTATTTCCTTTGGATTGCAAAGTAAAAAGTGTGACATCTCTGTCAAGATGGACATGTTTATTACTGTTTTTATTGTTTTTTGGCAAGGCAGTGTTTTGGATTTCTGTTATCAAGACTTATTTCGTGATAACCACAACTGTGTAACTTTAATTGAGACAAACATATGATCATACATTCCTCGTTGTATCTATTCTCCAAGTTCTATTTTTGTTATTTTCTTTCTATTATTTTTGTTCTTCAAATCATTGTAACTGAATTTAGTAGTATAGAGCTAATGTTCTGCATAAGAAATGTAGTCACTAGGTTTAGGTTATCACTGAACCTTTATTGGTTCATCTGCTAATTTCTACTGTATTTTAGGGAGGAATTATCTCCCCAGACAATCATATGATATGTAAAGTACGTATTCTGTGTCACTTTGGTCTTCAAAAATTTTATTTTGCCAATATCGTTCTTGAAGTTTTGAATTTTAGATAATCATCTAAATTTTTATTTTGAGTCAAATTTTTATTCAATTTCAGATAATCATCTAAATCATTAATGGAATGATATTTAAAATACATCCAAAAGTGAATCTCAGTGTTTGATTCCAACGGAATTGCAAGGTGTATATTTTAGAATTCATCTACATAAAATACCAGCTTTAAAATTAATTTTCATGCTACTCAAATGCTTACTTGATGAAAGATTTCTCCTAGAACATTTTTAATGCCTTAGATGAACTTAATTTTTTAATTGATTTTCAGAGCAAAATCTTAAGTATGGTTTTGGGTTTGAAATTGCAATCATTTCTTCGAATAAAAATCAACTCTGTTAAAACAGAGCCCTATATCTGTCACAACATTAATCGGTGTCCACCGGTCCTCTCAGAAGTCGGTGTTGGTGACTTTGAATGTAGCTTCGGCGTTGTTCATTTCTTCTCACCCATGGTTTAGAAAATTTTGAAAAAAAAAAAAAAAAAAACACTAAATGGGTTTCCTTACTGTTTCTACAAAATGCAGAACAAATAACATCCACATCACTAGATTTTTGGTTCTCACAAAATCAACATTGATCCCAAGTTGGTCATTTCTGTAGGGAGTTTATACAAGGAAAAAAGCCTAAATTGATATTGAATGGTTTAGGACTTCAAACCATAAAATCTATACCCCAAACAACCTAATCTGAGGAAAAAATAAAAAACAACAATCAAACTTAGCAGTGATGGTAACAGTGTTGTTCTAATTATATCTAGCATGTGAAGGATGCACCCACCTCATTTGATGTTTTAGGACACATAAGATTTTATGATTAGTTCAGTAATCTATTTATTTGTATATTATTGCTCAATAATAGACTAAGACAATGATTGAATATAACAGAAATAACAAACTCAAAATCCAACCTCTCCTAGAAACCCATTAATAGATACTAGTTAAGCATTGTTATGAAATTTATTTACATATAGTACCACCTTTAAAATTAATTTTCATGCTTTAAACTGTTTGGATGGTATCCTTGTGTGAAGAAAATTCTAGGGATTGCGGGAGACAGTTATAACGGTCCCGATATTTCCTGTTGTTGTTTAACTATAATCCGGACTCGGTTCCGTAGATTCGCTGTTATCTTATCCTCATTTCTATCCCTTACTCTTTTAATTAGAATTTTGGGTTGTGTTGGGCAATTTCTTGTGTGGAATTATTTTGGTTAAGTTATAGCGATCCCGGTATTCCCTGTCGTTGTTTAACTATAATCTGGACTCAGCTCCGTAGATTCGTTGTTGTCTTATCCTCATTTCTATCCCTTACTCTTTGTCTTAGAGTTTTGGGTTGTGTTAGGCAAGCTGGGAATTAGTTGGTTGTGTTTTGAAGCTTTGAAATTTTGCCCAGGTTTTGGTCTCTCCGCTTGAGCGGCGGTTTTACGCTCGAGCGGGCTTTTGTTGCTGCCTTTCTGCTCGAGCGGCAGTTTGGACGCTCGAGCGTGAATTTCCTTCTCTCAGCATTTTGGTCGTCTGCTGAAAATTCTGGGAGAGTGCATCCGGCGCTCGAGCGGATCTTTGGATGCTCGAGCGTGAACCTGTGTCTGTACGCTCGAGCGGGGTGTTGTACGCTCGAGCGGACCTGCTTTTATATCAGTTCGTGAAACCACCTTTTTGATCACTTTTTGATTTCCTTTCTCTCTCTTACTTTTTCAAAACCTCCATTGGAGAGCACCTCACTCTAAAACCAAACTTCTCTCTTAGGATTGATCTAGTAGGAGTTATTTTCTCACCTTGGGCCTTTACAAAAGTTGTGTTGATCGTCGAGGACTACCTTTTAATCTGAAAATTTCGGGATTTGGAGCATTTCTGTTTCTTCATCTCCTTCGTTGGGTCTCATTATTTGAGGTAGGGATATCCTACTCCTCTCTATGAATTTTGTCTTTAAATTTTGGTAATTTGAGATGTTGGGGTTGATTTGGTAATTTTGTGAAAGTTTGGGCCTTTTGTGTTATTTTACAAAAGTTGGGGTTTTATTTATAATAAACCTAGATGCATGTTTGGTATAGAGAAATGGAATAAATGTTGAATCATTGATGAAAATTGGACCTAAGGGTGGTAATGGTAATTATGGAACATGACCTAATTACATTGTTTAATTAATTGAGATAATTAATCGTGGAAAATGAGGAAATGAAATGGAATTGTTGAGATTGGGAGTGCATGGGGTTAAAGGGTGTTGTTGAATTATTTATCACTCACCGAATTGAAATGTCGATTCAATATCCATTGTGCATTTATTTCCTGCTTAGAAATAATTGCTTGGGGCTACCGGTAGAGGGTAGTGTTGATTGTTGTAGACAATGCTTGATGATTAGGCAAACTAAAACTAATCAATTGGATGTGTCATAGAGCACGACGGTTGATAGAATACATTAACGTTATGTATCTGTGGATTGTGCATGTGACCAATGTGTTTATATGCATTCTGTGTTTATATGCATTACTTGTGTATGGGAGGAGATGGGGGATGTACTCCACGGTTTAGGGGAAGATGGGGGATGTACATCTAAACCAGTTAATGATTTAGGGGAAGATGGGGGATGTACCTCTAAACCGATTGTTGGAATGTTGATATAGCTCATATGCTTATCGGTTGTAGTAGTGATATAGCTTATCTATTGAAGTGTTGATACAGCTCATATGCTTATCGGTTGAAGTGTTGATACAGCTCATATGCTTATCCATTGAAGTGTTGATACAGCTAGTATGCTTATCTATTGTGAAGTGGTAAATGTTTAATATGAGTTGCTATCTCATTTAAATTGTTTGGCTAGGTTCTGAGCCATAATCATGAATTGAGAATTGGATAAGAAATGGAAAATGAAATGAAACATGGACACATTTGTCATGTAAGGGAAATGGTTTATGAATTGATTTATATGAGTCAAACATTTATCAATTGTTCTAGTGATGAACTATAATCTCATCAAACGTTCTGGCCAGAGTAGTGAGCCTTGTTTCCAAACTCAAAGTTGAACAAAAATGAAAAGTGAATTGTAACATAGACTTGGCTGTCATGTTAACGTAGGGAGATGTAAATGGAAGTGTCAGTGTTGACCATCTATCAGTTGCTAATCTTTTAGTCATTGTTCATGGTTGGTTTAGTGTATTTCTACTGGGCTGTGGCTCACCCTATATGGGAATATCATTTTCAGGTACAGGTAGCATGCCACCTCCAATGACGTAGCTTGGGAGGCCAGAGGCGGACCTTTTTGTTGTTTTACTTTTGTTGTATTATTTGTAAATTCAAGCCAAGGGCTTAACGTGTTTGAGTTAGTACTCTTTTGTTGTAACCAAGTGTTAACTTGGAAAGCTGTAAGCCCATAGGGCATTTGCTTTTGTTGTTAACATGTAATACTTTTTGTAATGAAACTCTGATAAATGAAAGAATGTGAAGCTTTTGAATATCAATGCATGTCTTATTTAATGGGTTTAAAGTTATTATTTTGAGGGCGCTACATTTAAATTGATAAAAAAAATTATATTATGTCTCGATTTCAACTTCGTAAGGCCCGTTTGGCAAAATTTTTTATTTTTTGTTTTAATTATTCTTGGATCTTGAGTATTGAATGATATATAAATTTATATTTTGAGACTTATTTGCTTATCATTTTGGTTCATACCTCTATAATCATTTTGTGAGTTCAAATTATAATAGAAAAAAGTTGATGAAATGAATATTAAGTTCATATGTAGCACTCACCAAACCAACAAACGTGCCACATGTATTGTAAAATTGTATTCTATTAGTTACGATAAATACAAATAAATGGAGAGGTGAAAAAAGACATGAGGGGTTATTTGGGAATTTATTATTTTAATTGATTTTTTTTATGTTTTAAGAAAAGATGTGTAAAAAGTAAAGAAAGTGATGTGATTGGATGTTTTGACATTTTGACTATTTTCATCAAAAACCCTCATGCCAAACAAGTTCTAAATATTAGAATTTTGATCAATCATGTCGAGATTTCTATTTGATTTCATAAGATTATATTATATGATTAAAATTTTAAAATCTAACAGTCTATACCTGTCAAATTATTTAAGTTTATTAAATATATATATATATATATCAACCATTTGTGAAGTTAAAATAAAAATTTATTGGCGTAGATTTTTTAATAAATTTTTTTATGGCTCTTGATTAGCAATACCTCCACCGTCAAAATGCTTTTTTGGTTGAAATCATCAAGCCTCTTTGACTTAAAAATTACTTTGAAAACTTCATTTATTAATACATTATTTTTATCCTTTCTTTTTTACGTGGGACAAAGTTTCATCAAGATAAATATAGAAATATAAATTAAAGTTTTTAAAATTTGAAAATAAATTCAAATTTTCTAAAATAATTCAATAACATTGACCATTGAACGACACTAGTTTGGAAAAATATTAATATGATGTATTCAAAGTTCATGTCCAAGCTATGTGTTTGTTATTATATCATTTGTTTCAAATATCTGGGTTGCCATCCCACATCGATTGTGGATAATATTCTCAATTATCTTGTTTCAAATATGTGTTGCTATCCCATATCGATTGTAGATAATAATTAGAATAGACTGATAAGATAGCATTGGACACTTCTATTGTGGAGGCGTCCTTGGAAAATCAAAGGAATAAATCCATGCGGCTTGCCAGCTATCATGCTTAGGCCAAAGCAGACAATACTTCT